AAACAGTAATAAACTGACAAAACGTAACAACTAACGATGACATAAAAACAACTATTGCTAAAAAAAATTATAATGATTTAGTAAATTAATCATAGCTCTTATAATATCATAACCAGTGGCGGATTAAGATTTCTTGGGGCCCGGGGTTATTTTTGTTTTTGGAGGCCTTTTTATTGGCCAGAGCCTAAAAATGACTAAAAAAAAAAAAGGTCCTCTAAAATTTTTTGGGGCCCCTAAATTTGCCCCCCCCCCTCATGATCCGGCACTGATTATAACTAAAATATATTATATAAATAATAAATAAATAAAAATGTAAACAGAAACTAATTAAATAAAATGTAAACAGAAAAACACTTAAAAAATCAAAACAAAACAAAAGATACAACAAACTTTAAGAACAAAACAAAAAATTACGTTAAATATTTTTGACAACAAAAAAAAACCATAAAAAAACAACAACATAAAATAAAAACTAAAAACAACAACAAATAAAGAAGAAAAATATATAATATTACATGGTAGAATAAAACATATATGATAAATAGCTAAAATGAAAATAAAAACAAATAATATATAACTGTATAAAAAATTATATATCACTATTTAAAAATTATTAATAACTAAAAAATAAAACAATAAATGACTAACAAAATATATAAAGTAAAACTTAATACGCTAAAAACTAAAGAAAAAACATTACTACAAGACCGCATAACAGCAAAACTAAAAATATATGAAAAAATAAAAAAATCTTGATTTGCCAATCTTTTTTCGATGTATAGAAATAGTTATTATTTTCTTTCTTTTCCATTCATTTTTATTTCATTCATTAGTTGTTGTTTTTTTTTAACTTCTATTTTCATTACTTTTTTATTTATTTCCTTTCAAATATTTCTTTTTCTTTTCTTCTTTTAAAACATTTATTCATTCTTCTTTTTTAGTTGATTTTATTTTTCGTTTAATTTATAAATGTTTACGTTTTTCTTTTTTCCTCTTTTAAAAAAGTTATTATCATCCGTTAGAAAAAAGCGTCCACCATTTGCGAAGTCATTGCAAAGATGATACTAAACCTTATATGATTTCCGAAATACAAAATAAAATCCAGCCGGCATTATTACGTTGCTTCAACGTTGAAATTCGGTTGAAGCGTTGTTTCAACGTTGTTAAACTATGTCACAACGTTAACCCTTTGAGCACGGGGAGCCACGATCGTGGCTATACCGTCAGAGCACGTAGAGCCACGATCGTGGCTTTAAAAGTGTTTATCAGAACTATGACTTTTTCTACAGAAATACCGCTGTTCATAATTTAAAAATAGTACCATTGAATAGAGCACATTTTTTTCTATCTTTTGGTATATTTTGTATTAAAGATGAGTGACAGCAAAGAAAGTTTTACTGAAGAAGAAAGTTGTACAAGCGAAGAATAATTAAGTAGCAGTGATGATTTATTTGATGAAGGCACAATATTTTTTATTGAAAAATTGTATACAAATTTATTTAATTTAAATATATCACAAAATCTAAGCATTTGAAGTTTTTATTTTTATGTAGACTCCGGTTCTGATGATGATGCTGGTGTTGATGATGTTTTGGATTTGTGGCTTCCTGTTGTAGGAGATGACAATGGTCCTAATGTTTTTGCTTTTACTGGTGTACCAGGACCCAAACATACTATTTCACCAGAATCAAAGCCCATTGATTATGTTGAATTATTTTTCACTATAGAGTTTTTGGAAAAGTTAGTAACTTATACCAACCAGTATGCTGATGCATGGATACAAAGAAACCAACAGCATTTGAGATCTCATCCATTGTCGATAGGTCATGTATGGATAAAGCAAGGAAAAACAAATCTTTTAGAAATAAAGGCATTCCTTGGTGTTGTTATCAATATGGGTCTAATCAAGAAAGCTAGTATTAAACTATATTGGGATATTAGTCATCCTTGTGCTTCCACTCCCTGGTTTGTTACTCATTTCAATCGTGACCGTTTTCAACTTTTACTTAAATTTATTCACTTTACTGATATCTCTATCCCTAATCAACAGCAACTAAATAAGATTTATAAAGTTCAGTATTTAGTTGAACATTTTAACAAAAAAAAATTTATTTTTATAGTCCTCAAAAAGATATTTCTATAGATGAGAGCATGATTGGTTACAAGGGAAAGACACCACATCTCCGCCAATATATGCCAAACAAGCGTCATTCTCGATTTGGAATAAAATTATGGTGTGTTTCAGACAGCACTAATGGGTATTTATCTCAGTCATGGCCTACTTAAATTACACGGCCTGATTTGTTGCATTTTCCGTAATAAATTTAGAGGCCAGTTTTTTTACGGCTTTTAATGCAAACAAGACTCATAACCATTATAGAAAATTAAGTATAAAAACTTAATTTTCTATAATGGTTATGAGTCTTGTTTGCATTATAATTGGTTGATTCTTATTTTATTAAAATGCTTTAATAAAAGTTAGATTTTATTTGAGTACTCACACTATTTTGTGCTGGATTTTTTGTTAACTGATCGCCTGTTTCAGTTTATTCTAATAACACAAAATACTAAAATAGGCTTTCAGATAGCTATATCAACACATACCAACATGCTACTTAAAATAACCTTACATGTTGCTAAGATTGTCTCAAACTCTTCATTGAAAAAAAAAAATCAAAGGTTTGTAGTTTTGTATTTTTATAATTGAAATTAAAAGAAGAAATACCTTTTTACTAGGAATATTTAATTTGTCTTTGCCTTTTTTGTAATTTTTTTACTTGATCTTTACTCAATGAATATGTAACTTCTTTTTGCAAATTGTTATAAAAATATTAATAACAATACGAGATCTTTATTTGATTCCCCACTTTTGGTGATTTTCATTAGTAAAATTGTCATTGCTACAACAAATCTATAAAATTTGTTTTGCAAATTTTTAATTGAAAAAGAATGACTGCAATTTTTTATTTGAATAAGAGAAATAACATAAAATACTAAACAGAAGACAAATAAAGTTAGACAGGTTGAATTGCATATATAGGTTCTTCTCTGTATAAAGTAACATTTATTAATCATAAATTTAACATAAAAATCTTATTGTTAATTTTTATCTTTATTCCTTGCTTTAGTATATAAATCTGTGCTATTTTTAAAAAGCTGACACTAGTAATTATGGAGACAACTAAGCTAAATCTTGCATAATATTTTTTAATGATTATCAAAATTCTGATAAAATATTTTTTGGGAAAACCCACGAAAATCTTTTTACTAAATCATGTTTCTAATTATGCTTACTTTTTTACTAATGCATGTTTTTAATTATACTTACTAAAACCTAGCTCCAAAAGATTACTTTGTAAATTAGAACTAAGAACAACTGCAAAGCCTTCCTCAAAAAAATCATTCATAAGAGATACAGTTGCTTGTAGGGTTGTTATAAGAGCACAAGAAGTTTTTTTGGTTAATGTAAAGTATTTATCAAATTTTATTTTGATTAAATTTCAGTACTATTTGCAATTTCTCTATAAAGTGTGGGTTTGTTACCAGCTTTGCTGAGTTTGATTGGATAAATTAAGTTTCTGCCTTGAATTAAGTATGATAAATAACTTATAAAATAATGATTAAAGTGTGTTGCATTATTTCTTTCAGGAAAAGAACTCTAAATTACATTACTAAATTACAGCTGCAGTTGTTTCGTCAAATATTATCAATGTTGACAACTTGTTTGTTGTTTCTAAAATATGTGACTTGATAATTAATTTTACTTGCCTGTTTAATAATTAATCTTTTAATAAACTTTAAGAAATATATTCCCTGCAATGTAACTAGCAGTAACTTTACATAGTTTCTGGGAAAATCAAATAAAAAAGAATCTTTTTTTTTTTTTGTGTTTAATAAGTTTTTTCTTACATTTTTTATAAAACGAAGTATATCAAATAATAAGTATGTTTTATACACTCCTTTTTTAAACTGAATGATAAATTAATAGTTTTCCATCACTAATATATGCTTTATGAAACTATAAAAATGCATTAACATTGGTAGAATGCTTATCTGTCACAACAGCCCTTATCTTAAATTCAGATTGGTGCATTGAGGTAATACACTCATCAATTTCTTTTTTCAAACATAAACTTGTTATGTTAACTTTTAATGAGGATTTTAAAATAAAAAACAAAAACAACTTTATAAAGATTATTTTCTCAATCTTCATCAAATTGTTTACAACTTTGAGATTGAGCTGCTTTTTGGAAGTACATCTCAACCACAAGAAGCAGATAATTACTTAACAACAAATTTTTGTCAATAATATTTCTAATATAATATAGTTTTTTTATTAGTAATTTTCACCACTGCGAAACCATTTTAATAAACAAATATGAAAATATGAAATATGATAAGCATTTATTAGGCAATGAAAAATTAAGAATTTTATTAACAGATATTGACTTCAAAACAGTTGGTATGCCTGATATTTTTGGCCTGTTTTGTTGCATTTTAATTGCTGTATGTATAAAACACAAGCATAGTAGAGTATTTACATTTCAAAACGTTGTTTTGCAGTGTAAATATTTCAAAGAAAAATCGATTTTTTATATCTAATAACTGCAATTATAATAAATACAAAAGTACAAACCTTTTAAATTATTTCCAATGGAGAGTTGTGGGTAGTTTTAGCAACATGTAAGGTTATTTTTAGTAGCATGTTGGTATGTGTTGATATAGCTATCTGAAAGCCTATTTCAGTATTCTGTGTAATTGGAATAAACTGAAGCAGGCAATCAGTTAACAAAAAATCCAGCACAAAATAATGTAAGAACTCAAATAAAATCTAACTATTATTAAACCATTTTAATAAAATCAGAATAAACCAATTGTAGTGCAAACAAGACTCATAACCATAGCGAAAATTAAGTTTTTATACTTGAGCCGTAAAAAAACTGGCCTCTTAATTTTTTACGGAAAATGCAACAAATCAGGCCGTGTAATTTAAGTAGGCCATGTCTCAGTTTGAAATTTACAAGGGAGGAAAAAATCCAGATGAAGCTGCTGTTGCCCATGGTATGACTTACAACTTGATTTTTCGTCTTTTGCGTCAAGCCAACCTCCTTCATCAAGGTTATCATTTAGGTATTGATAACTATTACACTCCTCCACAACTGCTATTGGATCTATATCTACATCAAACCACAGCAACAGGAACAGTGAGAGTAAACAGAAAAGGTCTGCCAGAAATCTGCCTTAAAACAAAATTGAAAAACGAAGAAGTTTGCCAATATAGAAAAGGTCCTTTGTTATGTGTAGCATATCAAGATGGTAAAAGTAAACCTGTATTACTGTCTACTGTTGCCAAAGCAGGTTTTACTGAATTGCGCAACAGAAGAGGTAATTTAGTTATGAAGCCAAACGTTGTTGCCCTTTATAATCGAACCATGGGAGGGGTAAATTTGGGAGATGCACAGCTCTACGTGTACCTGTCAGAGCGTAAGACAATAAAGTGGACTACAAAAGTTGCCTTTTCTTTATTTGGCAGGGCTATTCTTAACAGCTACTTATTGTATAAGCTTAACACTATTGAACGTAAGCCTATGTCTAGAATAAGTTTTATGATGGCAGTTGTGGAAAGTTTAGCTGGAGGGTATCAACCAGTAAAAATAGTAACAAAAAGACGAACATCTAGGGAGATGGAAATGGCAAGAAGTACAATTGTACCATATCCACTTCCTCAACACACAGCGATTAACAATCCTTTATATAGACATAACCTTGTCAAAATTGGTTCAGGAAAAAAAATAAAATGTGTAGCTGGGCACCAAACCCGTGTTCGTACCAGTTGGCAGTGTCAGTCATGTTGTGTTGGACTGTTTCCTGAATGCTTTTCAAATTACCACACAACAGCTATAAATTAAATACATCGCATTTCTTAAATTCTTCTAAAAACTAGAAAAAAAAAACTAAAATTTAAAATAGTTGTTTTTCGTTTTTTTTTTTTTTTTTTTTAGTTCAGTTTTTCCGTACGGTGTTTAAGTTTTATTCCGCGCTCAAAGGGTTAAATCAACGTTACAGTTTAAACGTTGATTATTTAACGTTATTTCAACATAAAATCCATAGTCATAAGAATAAATACTTTGATTATGACTATGTAAAATCATTGTTGACAAAAAACACGATATAAAATTTATGCGCGCGCAGAAATGGAAGTAAAAACGTAAACATTATTTCAACGGTTTAAGTTATAAAGATTTATAATGGAAAAAAAAAATTAAATACTGAACTTATACCATATAGAATTTTCAAGAGATAAAAAACATGTTCAGACGATTTTCCTGAAAGAACATTATCGTTAAAAATTGATATTTTTCGTTTAACTTGGGCTACAATGCTGAAAGACTGATATTATTAAATGTAAATATAACTTTTTCAAAAAATGATCCATTAAATTATGTTGAATTTAATGCTAAGCGTTGTTTTTTAATAGAGCATCAAGAATTAAAAAAGGAAATTGATAACTCTAAAAAAGAACTTCAGCACGAAATAAAAAAATAAAGATTTGTATGAAAAATTAACTTCAACTACATCAGTTATTACTATGAAAATAGACAAATTTGTATATAAACATAATCCAAACAAATCGTGTTATTGCAATTTACTTGTATACAAACATTTATTTTAAAAATGATAGATCTTGCAACTTTTATACTGGCCTTACATCTGTCAATGTGTTTCTTCAGTTAGTGCAGTATCACCATCCTTGCGGCGAACCTGACGTCACTTTAACTAACTATACGGTTACCATTATGGTATGGGGGCAAACAAAGCGCTTGAAAATGGAGAAAGGTTGCTGTGTTTTTGATTGTTCAATTAATGTAAATAGTCATCCGAACTTGAGTTTTTATCTCTTACCTGCTGATCAAAAGAGAAGAAGGTAAATCTGCAGTTAAGCGGCGTAAAATAATTATATATTTTTTACTTAAAAAAATCAACGGTGGTGAGCGTATTATGTAAAGTTGCGTTACGTAAGATATCATAATTATTAAAAAATAAATTCTAAATCAATTATTAAATTTTAAAAGCGAGTTATATATATATATATATATATATATATATATATATATATATATATATATATATATATATATATATATATATATATATATATATATATATATATATATATATATATATATATATTATATATATATATATATATATATATATATATATATATATATATATATATATATATATATATCAAATCACAATAATAAATCATGTCAAAGAGGTGTAGCAATATTTGTACATATATCGTTAAAATCGTCATTGGTTACCTTTGATACCATTGCATCAGAATCAATTAGTTGTGAAATTCAAACAAAAATTTCTAAGCTACTAATAACAACATTCTACAGATTTCCAAATAGCAATGAGGAAAATGATAACTATATAAATCAACACACAACTAATCTTTCTGAAAAATACGAAAACATCCTAATTGTTGGAGACTTTAACTACCCAGATATAACTTGGTCTAACAAAAAAGAAAACCCGATATCTCACTCATCAAAATCTGTAAAATTCATAAATTCAATCCGCAATTGTTTCCTCACACAACATATATCTAAACCAACCCACTTCAGAAAGAATCAAAAACCAACTAATATCGATCTTATAATAACATCCGTGGAAAATATAATTTCACCAATAACCCACCTTGCTCCAATTGGAAAAAGTTATTACCACCTTTTATACTTTACCGTACTAACCGAACCAATAGATAAACCAACTCATACTACTAATAAGCAATTATTCTCTAAAGGAAACTATAATAAAATTAATAAAGATCTATCAACCTTAGTGTTAAATCAAAACTATAATTCAGAACAACTTTAGGATATATTCTACACAAACCTTAAAAACACTATTAAAAAAAATGTTCCAAAATCCTCAACAAAACCTAAAAGCGTTCACAATGGATAACCGCCCAAGTAGCAGAAGAAATAAGAAATAAACAAATTAAATATCAAGACTACATTCATAAACGGAATGGTAAAACTTACTTTGACTATTGTCGAGCGCGTAAAAGAACTAAAGCAGCTTGCAGAAATGCTATAATAAATTTTGAAAAAGAAATTGCTAAAAACATCAACAAAAATCCTAAAGCTATTTTTTCATACATAAAATCAAAAAATCTTATAAAAAATCTCATTCCTGAAATAGTCCACAATAAGATAGTTGCTTCCACCGATCTTGAAAAGGCTCAATGCTTCAATAATTACTTTGCTAGTAATTTTTCTGATAATGATACATTGATTGTTCCAAGTTTTAACTTATCTTCTATTTGTCCCAGTCAAATCTCTAATGATCTTGATCTATCTCCTGAAAACATTGCATCTCATCTTCTGTCTATAAAGTCATTTAAATCACCGGGTTCAGATGAGATACATCCCAATATATTAAAAGAAACCCATCACCAAATCTCCAAACATCTTTCTATTATTTATACTAAGGTACTTCAAACTAGTACATTACCACAAATCTGGAAAGATGCAAATATCATTCCAATTTTCAACATGCACTTTAGTCAAAATATTTAAAAAAATAATACAAAAACATATTTTTATTCATCTTTTAAAAAACAATCTACTAACTCCTAGTCAACACGGTTTTTATCCAGGGCGCTCTTGTGAAACAAATCTTCTTACTGTAATCAATACATGGACACTTAATTTAGATAAAGGTCTTCCCGTCGATAATATTTATCTTGACTTTGAAAAAGCATTTGACAAAGTCCCACACGACTATCTTCTTTTGAAACTAAAAGCCTATGGGATTAATGGTCCAATTCTCTCTTGGATAAGAAACTTTCTCACAAATCGAAGACAAAGAGTAATGATAAATGGTAATTACTCTGATTGGGTATCAGTAAAAAGTGGAGTTCCCCAAGGTTCTGTTCTCTCAGCTCTATTATTCATAATATACGTTAACGATATTCCCAATATAATTACTTCAAATGCAGCACTTTTTGCTGACGATACAAAAATATTTTACCTTATTACTAATTTGCATTCACACACCGTACTTCAAAATGATATTGATATCTTGGTTGACTGGGCAACTAAATGGGGGATGAAATTTAATATAGAAAAATGTTCAGTTTTACACCTAGGTCATAAAAATAAACATCTTGTCTATTCTATGTATGATCCAGTGAAGAAAACAAGGATTGATATCAAATCTACTCGGAGTATATATCGATAATAACTTGCTATTTTCTATACATACCTCTACTCAAGTTAATAGGGCAATGAAGATGCTATTTCTAATAAAAAGATCTTCTCTTATCTAAATTCATTTTGTTTTAAAAGACTGTTTTCTGCACTAGTACGATCATATTTAGAATATTGTGGTTCTGTATATAACCCTCGTCTAAGACAAACGATAAGTTGAAAATATACTCAGAAGAGCATCTAAATCATTTCATGGATTAAAAGTCTAACATTTCACCAAAGACTATTAAAAATTAATATGACAACCATAAGATACAGACTAATCCGGGGAGATTTAATAAACGTCTATAAATGGCTAAACAACTACTACAACTGTCAAACGATCTTTCCAAAAACAATATAAAATTTTATTACAAGAGGACATTCATTTAAACTAGAAAAACCTTATTCTCGTCTAGCTTCTCGTCAATACTTTTTCACCTTACGAGTAAACAACAAATGGAACTCCCTCCCAGATGACGTTGTAAATGCTACTTCCGTGAGCAATTTTAAAAACAAACTCGACAATTATCTAAAAGAAGAAAAAACAATTTATGATTAGTATATTTATATAGTAATCATAAGACAGGTTGACAGGCATTTCATGCCTATACAAATCCAATTTGTAAACCTTAATAATAATAATAACAATAATAATAATAATAATAATATATATATATATATATATATTTATATATATATATAATATATATATATATATATATATATATATATATATATATATTATAATTATTATTATTATATAGAAATATATTTGAAAATATAAATATAAATTTTTTTAAAGCTTTCTTATTTTAAACCTTTCAAAGCAATTAAAACTCGTTTTGAATTTCTTTTGTTTTTTAGTCTCCGCGAACGAGAGCGCATAAAGCAAAATAATATAATTATTTTACGCCGCTTAACTGCTAATTTACCGAGAAGAAAATTGTGGCTTTATGAATTGAAAGGAATAGAATTGATTCATCAAGCAAAAACAAACTTTGGTCGCAAAACATGTTTAAATATGCTCAAAGCATTTTGTATTTGGTAAGTTTTGTGTTTGATTCGTCAAAATATTTGAACACAAATTTTTCTTGAACTTATGAAGTTTTTTCGTTTATATATTTCGTTTATATGTTTCCCTTTTAGGAAAAAAAGAACATGGTCAAGTTGCATTTCAAAATTTGAAAAGCATGTTGACTATGTTCCATCAGTAAATATGTTAGGTGCTAAATATGTTAGGTGCTAGTGAAATCATCCCTCCAACATAACCAATTGTTGCCACAAAATGAAAGGAGAATAAATAAATTAAATAATTCACTTGGAATATAGTTTATCTTGTTGTTTAAAATATTTTTGTAAAAACTGCTTATGTAATAGTTACAATTTATTTTTGTTATGCCCTGATGCATAACAAAAATAAATTGTAAATATAAATATTAATGCATTAAAACTAAGCATTTATAAATCATGTGTTTATTGCGTTTATTTTTAAATAAATTAATGTTCAATAGCTTGTTGAGCACAAATTTTAATAATATGACATAACAAATTTATTTTTTACAACCTTTGCTTGCTAATAAAAATACTCAAATCAAGCCATATATATATTTTTTAAAGTCTGTGTTTGTATTTACTATATACCTGAAACATGCTAATATTTTTTTAGAATATTGCTTACAAAAAAGTCATTGCAATAAATCTCAAGTTGTTGAAGTCAGTGAACAAAAGTAACAAGAGGATGTTAGTGTCTTAAACCAACACGAAACAATAAGTGAACTTAGCTGAAAATGATGGTAGTTTAAAAATAATGCAGTGTTGGCTAGCAGGCAGGGTTTGCAAAAAACCCAACCCAAAAAAACCCACCTTAAAAAAACCCAAAAAAACTCAAAATATATTTGGGTTTTTTTAAAAATGACCTATTTTACAACTGATAACTCTGATTTTAACACTTATAAATGCTTTATTATCAGCAAGTGCAACCTTTATACTGTAATTACTCTAGTAAACACTGTATTTATATACATAATGGTCTTTAGAATATACCCAAAATTGATCAATCTATTTTTGTAGCAAGTTGGTTATTTATTATTTTTTTAAAACATTTAGCAAGTTATTATAAATGTTATTGAATTATGTATTAAAACATTAAATTAGTTAAATACTTATAAAGGAAATAAAAATCATTCTATTAACTAAATTTCAAGACATTACTAGTTATTTAGTATCTTTATTCTCCTCTCGAATGTCTATATTCCTTTATATTGGTATTTGATCTTTTATTTTTTAAAGCTTATGTTGTAAACTGCAAAAAAAAAAAAAAAATACAAAGCCACAAGCAAAATACTATATATAAAAATTATTAAACTTTATTTACAGTTTAGAAATGAAAAGTTGTCAGGAAAAAAAAATGCTAGATTACTAGATTTGTCCTTAAGTGCATACAACTTTAAAACTTAAAAAAAATTAAGTTATGTGCTAGCAAGCTTGCAACATGTTTGCTCATTCAATGAGAGAACATGTTGAAAACTTGTATGCATTTCACAAGGACAAGATTTGTTGGTACAAATGACACTCGTGCTCATCTGTCTTTTGACATGTTTTGAATATTTTGCATCAGCTACAAGTTTACAACATGTACCACCAACAAGGGTGACTATGAACAGCGGGTTGAAAATTAACATCAGTATCAAGTTGCTAAAAGGTGAAGAAACACACACACAATAGAGCTATATAATGTGTTGCTTTGATTCAGTTTGCAATTTGCATTGCAAAACTGAGCCGGTAAATCATCTTCAAGGAAAAAAAAAAACTTGGTGGCGAAGACACTGTAATGGTTCTTAACAAATTTACTTTATATATATTTAGAAACAAAGTTTAGGCAAAAATCCATTTTTTACCAGTCCAGTTGATCAGGCCGATAACTTTTCCAGGAAGCTGGACAGTATAATGTTCTGATAAAAAAAAATGTAGTGATTAGGCTAGCAGTTTTCTTCTATGATACAAAAATGTTTAAAAAGTGTTCATAGTCATCCTGATTGATAATAACTTATAAGGTTGCAACATCATGTTGCAAACTTGTTGATTGCATGTTGTAAACTTGTGCAAAGTAGTTTTTGAAATGATATGTTGAACATGTTAGTAAAAAAAACTAGTTTGCAACATTTATATTGTCTTACCAACTTTGAATGACTCAATTGTCATAATTTTTACACTGATTTTTTTTTAGCCAAAAATATTCTGAACATGTTTTTAATTTAGAACAATTAATTAACATCATTTATAGTTGATGGAGTCCCTTTTTGCACTATAGGTAAAATGTGCTAGTAGACTAGTAGTAAAACATTTGGCTCGCAACCATAAGGTTGGGGTTCAAATTACCTCTGCTGAAATTACTGTCTCAATCTATTTCTCCACACAGCGCCTTTGTTGTTATTTTTTAGTTGTTAATGTTGTTTGCTAGTAAAAATGGTAATTTTAAGGATTGAGACAGAATATTTTTAAAAAATGAGTTGCTCCCTTGACTGAAATGGTCATTGGAGCAATAGGGAGGTGAATTTATGAAATTAAAAAAAAAAAATTATTGTACTCATACAATTATAAAAATTTGGTATTTTGATCGATTTTAAAAAAACCCATAAAACCCAAAAAAACCCAATAAAACCCATTTGGGTTGGGTTTTTTTAAAAAACCCTGGGTTTTTTCCAACCCTGCTAGCGGGTAAGTGATTATGTGTATGTTGGCTTACTAATAAGTCAATATATATGTGTTTATGTTCTGTGTCAACCTCTGGTGCCGTGTTGGCTCACCCTTAAGTCATTATATGTGTGTTTGTGTTCTTTTTCAACCTCTGGTGTGGTGTTGACTCATTTGTCAGTAATTATGTGTATAATTTTATTTTGTTTTACTGTGTTAACATTGTAATGTTATTGTTTTGATGTTTTGTGTTGATAGACAACTTTGCTTACCTTCTCGTTGGTGTCTCATGTTACAAATGATTATAAGATTACATTACTTCTTATCATTTACTAATAGGAAAGAAACATGTTTTAAAGGAAAACATACTTTTAATGTTGTCATTTTTAATCTTTAGAATATTTCTGAGATCACAAAACAATCTTGCAAAGTAAGTTTCTTCTTTATTATTTATTTAGTCGTATTTTTAATAAAGTTTTTATTTTTCATATTAACATAAGACATTAATTTGTAAACGCTTTCAGCATAAATTGTTTTCATTTTCTTTAGTAGAGTTTCTGCTGTTGTCACTGGCTTTAGAGAGTACCTTCGTGAATGAAGATAAAAAGTCATTTATGTCATTTGCTAAAAGCCAAGACATAATATTGTTAATCCTCATACCAGTTACTAAAAAATTTTATAATTATGTTATAATTCAAATTGTTGTAATTAGTAATTTTGATCATTTCATCATTATACTGTGAAAAGTATTTTTTATTTATAACATTTATTTCACATATATTAAAAACATGAAGAATAAATATTACACTGAGGAAAATTTTAAGCAAAATATAGAATTTTTAAATGTTATTAGAAAATCAATATGTAGTATTTTTGTTTTGTTTATTGACTAGTCTGTAAACTGTGCAATAATTTCAAAAAGCACTTGCATAGATTTATTCCAATATAACGCTAAATTTTGTTTTAAAAAGTCAAGTAAAATCTCTTCAGCCTGTAGAATAGATTGTTCTGTCTAATCCCGGTAGATTTAAAAAAAAATAGTTTTGAATCATATTTTCTTTTTTACGTATTTAGTTTCATATTTTAATCAGTTTTGAAATGTAAAGTAATTTACAGAAATTTAATGATTACTAATTTTACTGATTAATTGAAATGTAAAGTAAAATAATGTTGCGTTTAAAATTGTTGCCATTAAGCATTAAACTTTATGTAGTGCGGCCGTGGCTCAGTGGTTACAACGCTTGCTTTATAAGCAGGAGATCCAGTTTTGGCACGAGCTCTGGACATATTTTCACGTCACGGTAAGGAAGAAAGCGTGAACTTCCTAGAGACGCACTTCCGCAGTGCCCTGTGACAAGACCGTTAGGTCTTTTTGAGGCACCTAAATAACAAAACAACAAAAAAAAAAGTATACATATAAATACGCAAAACAAAATTTCCTACATTCAATTACTATGAAAGTAATTTTTTCTTTAGTTGATAGATCACTGTGATAAATTTTAAGTTGAATAACAAAGGTTCCGAAGATATTAATTTGAACTACAAAATAAAACAAAATTATTAAGGCAGGAACGCGACATTTAAATCAATGTCGGAGATATATGATATAATCTATTAAAACATCATTTATATTTAGTTTTTTATATAATTTTAAGTTATTTATTATTTTATTTATATATGTAAACTATTGTTTACCTAGTTTATTTTAATAATGATATAACTCTTTACAAGAATACAGCAATTTTTATACAATTGGTTAAATTTTTACACAATTTTATTATTTAAGGCGCCTGAAGCGACAGTATATTTTGCCATTTAAATTTGCATAAACTAATGTTTTCGTTCGCGTTCTGCGAACAGCTAACCGTAAATATTATTAAAAAAAAACTAACATCTTTGGACTTAATTATTACGGTTGTGAAGCAATTGTCACTGTGTCACATGATAGAGCCGAAAATATTTATCCTCGAAAATATCACCGAAATATTTCACAACCGAAAATTTTAGAACCGAAAAGTATACTTTCATTGCAGGATCGAATTACAAAATCCTTTCTTGCACCGAAAGTTTTTAAACCGAATTTTACAACCGAAAAAATTTGGATCGATTTACAAAATCTTTTCTTTTTTTAATCTTTTTTTTTTTTTTTTTTTCAGTTAGTCGTTTTACAATAAAATAAACAATTAAAATTTCTTTAAAATATATATACATATATCTTATACTGCTGTGTTAGGTGAGCATGATGATGTCATACTCACCTAACGTCAAATAGCCCTCTGCTGGGGGCTTCAGTACATACATCGACTGACAAATAGCCTGACTCGCAATGGAGTGCTGCTACATCGACTGTGGGTTTGGTATGGGTCAGCAACCTTTTTCATTCATTATTCTTCGTTTTCCCTCGTCGTTTTCTAAAAACGCTCACTTAATTGTAATTAATTAAGTGTAACTTTCGGTTGTAAACCATTTCCCAGTGGGCACGCAGACGGCTTTAGGACGTCTTTAAGACGTCCCGATCGGACGTCTTAAATTGGTTGGATTTGGAAATACAGAAAGACGTCCTGCGTGGAACGTTTTAAAGACGTCCCAGAAAGAACGTGAAAAAGACGTCTTACGAGGAACATAAAAAAGACGTCCCGATAGGACTAAGAAATTGGGTTTAGTTTAAGTTACAGTTTAGAAATAATGAAAAACATTAGGTATGGAATGCCATAAATAGGTCTTATTTGGTGCGTATTTTTTTATACGTTAATTTTTAGACTTATTAATTTCAAATACCATTAGAAAAACAAGAATTTAAAACAAAAATTAGTAAAGTGAAATTTATTTACAGAAATTAATTACAAATTAGGTTCGATGCATCTATCACTTCCACTATCGACTATTTCTGGCACCAAATTTTTTCGATCTGGACCACGTTAAAAAATGTTGCCAGCAAATGAATGAACTTCATTCTAAAAACACAGTCTAATAAATAATGCGGCAGTGGTGTAGTGGTAAGAGCGCACGCATTGTAAGCGAGAGGTTCGGAGTTCGACTCCCACCACGTCCCTGGAAGTACCGCGCTCAACTTAGTTTCTCCGCGCAGCGGCCTTGCTTGTCAAGGTTCGTGTTTCGGAGTTAAAGAGTTGAGAGAGGGTTGTACCACGAAATACAACAAAAAAATAAAAAACACAAAAAAATGAGTAGCCTCCTCGACTGTAGTGGCCCCTTCGGGCCTTGGGGAGGTGAATAATGTAAAAAAAAAAAAAAAAAAAAAAAAAAAAGCTATAATATCTTATACAAAATTTTCAAAGTCAATTTTTGCAACTGATTAAATAAGAGTTCACAGTTGTTTTTCGTGCGAGTGTGAGTTTGCAGTATTTAAAAATTCGTCAAAACTAAACATACAAAATACAATACAAAATATATTACATTAACAGGTATACCTATAACTGTCTTCATTAAATTTGTTTCACGAAAACTCTTTTTTTTACCAGCTAAGTTAAATAAACTCATCAGTTTATTTCACATTAATCTAAATAAACAAATGACAAAAATAAAATCAGATCAGATCATAAGCAGTTTAAAAATTATGAACATAAGTTCATTTACAAGTCCAAATTACCCAGCCAGCATTTGATCCAGAAAGAAAGATTTTCAGGATTAAATGCGGGCCAGGTATGTTCTGCTAAAATACATTTAAAAAGTTTTTTTTAGCAGAATATAATTTCCAAACTTATAAAATATAACATTCTACAATTATATATCACAAATGCGTTTACATAGATTTACATCCATGTTTCCACACTTGTATGGTTTAGATGGTTCTCCATAGTAATGGCTCTCTCAAAAAGATTTGCAGCAATATTTTACAAACAGATGCCCAAATTTCATATGGATGGCGTACAACCTGCTTAAGCAGGATGTACTACATGGTACCAGTACCAAGATAACCTGACTTGACGCTTGACAAACAGACCTGAAAAAAAATGGATATGAAAAGAAATTAGGTCATGCACAAAAAGAAAACAGTAGATAAAGCATTAATGATATTAAAGAAGACAGACATCAATATCTGTATTCTGTGTCACAAATATTTAATATTTGTGACAATAAAAACTGAAACTACAAATATATATTTTTATTTTATTTTAGTATAAAAATGTATAACTTATAATATTTTTTTTCTGTTAATTTACTTAAGCTCTTACCTTAAAAAACCTTTATACAGTCAGTGGCAAAGGCAGGTTTTTTTAGGTTCCATATTTGACACTTTCAAGCTTTGTGCATACTTCAAACTTTTTATGTCTACCTGAAATGACAAAGAAAAAAATAAATTATAATCTATTATTTGTTATAAATAATACATAGGTGCTTGAAAACTAAAATACCCAAAAAATTTGCTCTCCTATATCTGAATATGAGGGGAATGAGTTCATATTAGCATTCAAAAGTTATGATGATGTACATTTTGCAACCTCCTCATTTAAGGAGGGAAACTAATCTTTATATGGTCAAAACATTTGAAAGCTAAAATACTAATAAAGTTACAAACCTGTTGATGAAATTTAATTTAATATTAAATAAAATACTGTTATTTACAGAACTCATTTCCTTCACATTCAGGGATGGGAAAGAGCAAAACGTTGTCATTCGACATAAGGATAAAAATAATTAAGTTTGCAGATTGGACAATGTGCTTGAAAATGTCTTATGTGAATACATATAACAATCTATGCTATTGCACATGCATTTACATATACTCTATAGTGTAATGTATACAGATAAACAATAACCATAATAAATAATTTAACAAAACAAAACTTATTAGTTAATAATTAAGTAATTATTATTAAAAAATATTTGCATAGCAAAACAAAATACAAAAAGTAAACACATACTTAACAATCGACGCTTTCACAGTGGCATAACTAAAATTACCACCAACATTTGATAACTGAAGCCTCAAAAAAAATACAGTTAAGAATAAATAGTATTTTATTCAACACGGAAATGTTTTAGTTCAAAATCATAGTTCTAAATCAAGAATTAGGTTGAAGCTGGCAACCAAATTAAAAAAGCAAAGACAGATAAAACCATGTTGATACAACATTTAATCATCATATCCGGTTTGAAAAAATCTAAATTTTACATGATATTTTTAGTAGAAAATTTTATAAGGATTTCTTGAAAAAATAATGACAAAATTGATAGTTTTTTGTAACTTCAAATGTTATAACTTTTCCAATTCTTATCAAAATGTATACAATTTGGTATAAAAACAAAGATATAAAAAAGACAAGGCACCTACAACACCCATTTGATTTACATTTAAGGAGAGTATTACATGAGGAGAGTATTATGTATTACTATATTCTTTTCTACTTGTTTATCTATCATATTTAATGATCGTTTGTTAGAATATAAAAAATTGCAATAAAAATTTCAATAAAAAACACAAAACTTTTATTAACAAATAAACATTCGTAACATATTACTGGGTGTTGTAGGTGCCTTGTCTTTTTTATATCTTTGTTTTTATACCAAATTGTATACATTTTGATAAGAATTGGAAAAGTTATAACATTTGAAGTTACAAAAAACTATCAATTTTGTCATTATTTTTTCAAGAAATCCTTATAACATTTTCTACTAAAAATATCATGTAAAATTTAGATTTTTTCACCATTAAAATATAAAACAATCATATTCTAACATTAATAAGTGTATTATTTAATTTTTTTGTGCACTAAATGTTAAATCATTGATATATTAATAAAGCTTTATCATACGTATTTTTATTAAATGTTGCAAAAGTATAATAAATTAAAATTTAAAAAATATATATATATAAAAAAGTGCAACTTTCAGCATAAAATTCAAAATTCTATGTAGATGGAATGTAAAAATAATAATCATAAGGATACAGTAAACTCCCAATATCTCAAACCTCAGATAACTCGAACTTTCCTGTAACTCAAAGTACTTTCGATTATTATTAGTAGTACACATATAATTTTTTTTTTACTGTTATATCTTGTTACTATATTATATATGTATGTTACTAAATTATATATGAATCAATTCATATATATCATATATATCATATTGTCATATATATCATATTATGATATATAATATAGTTACATGCATCTATAACATTGTTTAGGTTACATGCATCTATAATATTGTTTAGGTTTAGGTTATCTATAATATAGATTAGGTTATTGACTGTTAACTTCAAAGAAAATAAAATTCGCAGTGGCTACGGTACCGGCTGCTGGATCTTTAGCTCTAGCAGCTAGAGTACCGGCTGGTCTGGGTTCTAGCTAATGAAGATGACGTAGCTGTTAGATGGTTTACTTAACATCCGCAATTAGAAAACTAGTAGCCGGTTTCTTAGTCGGTAAGTACATGATTCCATAGCGTAAAGTTAGGTACTGTAAAATGTTCCGCAATTGTCCCGCTTCACGTCCAGGACAGAGTTAACATAATTAATTTTTGCATTTATAATTTAATTTATGAAATAATTAATATTCTTTAAATTTGGAGCACGTTTTCACCTGGTTATCGTCGAAGATTAAATTTAAATTG